CCAAAAACCAAAACCAAAAAATTGAGCGATATTTCACATTTAGAAATGGCTAAACATAAGCTGGGCATGGTGGCGCACACCTGTAATCCTGGCACTCGGGAGGCTGAGGCAGAAGGATTGCTCTGAGTTCAAGACCAGCCTGGGCTACACAGTGAGTTCCAGGTCAGTCTCAAGTACATAGCGAGACCCTGTCTCAAAAAACCAAAAGAAAGAAAGCAATGTCTGAACATGCCCTATAGTTTTTGAAGCTGCAAACTCCACCGCCTGAAAGCTGCTCCTAAGTAGCCTTCCAGGTGGTGCGCGCCCATGAAATGTCCTCTCTAAAACCACACTATTCACCTTGGATGGAAGAGTAACAGTCCTGGAATCTGCCGAGGAAGTTCCAAGTCGGTGACGTTCGAGGAGCTCCCAGGGATGGGCTAAAGGAGAGGGCCAAGGTGCCTCTACCAAGCCTCACTCTGCAGCTGTGCACCGGAAATGAGAAAGCTCTCCCCTCGGGAGATGGAACGGAGCAGGATGGTGCTCAGCAGTGCTCTGCATAGGGCTGGCTGTCACCGATTATCAAATCCCTCCCTCCTTCTCTTCCATCAAGAACTCATCTCCATTTTGCTGTCCCCCCCCCCCACTTTACCAGATCAGAACTTTGATTTCGTGTCAGACAGAAAAGCCAGGATTCATGTTACAGATACTCAGCTCAAAGCCAGCTTGGCTGGGATGCAAAAGCATCTATTTATTCCACAAGGCTGGGCATGCAATTCTAGACTTCTTAGAGAACATCAGGTCCAAACCTCGGTCTTACAGGAGGAAGCAGCCCGAGAGCAGAGCCTTTGCCAAGGTCACGGCGCCCATGTGGGGTGGCAGGGCGGCCCCCGTCTCCGCTTCCCACGCTCATGCCCTTGCTTGTGTGAAGTCTTGCAAGCTGTCAGTCCCGAGCCTCCATACTCGCTTACTTATTATCCCTCTCCCGGCCCCCAGCCAATGTGCAATCCACACCCATCCACAGACAGCTGAGACAGGTTAGAAAAAGCCCAGAGGGCACTTTATTGGAGGACTCTGCCTCCATTCACAGGAGAAAGAAACCAGGACCCCATCCTGAGGGCTCTGGCAGGGTTCACCCCCTTCCGCTGGTCCAGGCAGGGATATGGTACAGCCTGGCCACCACCAGCGTTTGGAGGGGAAGTGCGGGGGAGCGGAATGCTTTAGAAAAAATAGATCTCTATGTACATCTGACTTATTTATAGCACATAAATTAGGGATGCTGCGACCCCCACCTGTGGAGCCCAAGCACTGAGCAGGGAGGTGTGGAAGGCAATCCAGTAAGATGTGGGAGGCCGCAGCCCCGTCCCCTGTCCTAGCACACTTCAGCCTCCCAGGCCCCTTCAGCCTCCCGTCTTCCTTGACCGAGTCCAGGCAGGAGGAGGGCGTCGTCCACAGCCAGTGTTGCGATCCTAGGAAGCAACACTGGCGCCAGTCACTTTTGACCCCAGAGCTCGTATTCCAAGGCCAGCAGGAGAGGCCGAGGGCTCCAGGCTCCGCCACCCTTCAGCTTCTCACAAGAGCACAGAGGGAGTGCGTCCGGCGGGGAGGGGCGTCCGGCCTGCTGGTCCTCCAGGAACCTGTGGCCCCAGTCCAGTCTGTGGGTTTGTGCTAGGTCTGCTCCAGACTTTTACTTGCGATTCTCCACAACCTCTTCTTCCTTCCAGCCACTGGAGTTTTTGCCGAACTTGTAGACAAGCCGCCGGCCGTCCACCCGCTCCAGGATCTCTCGTTTGTAGTAGTACCTGGGTGGGGACAGGTGTCAGAGGTGCCTCCAGGAGACCTGCACTGCCACTGCCTCCCCTTGGGCCAGAGTCCTAGGCTGAGCTGCCCCTCTGAGCCTGGCCCGGACTCCTCCCACTCTCTTCTCACCTGCTGTCACCTTGCTGGCCTGGTATCATGTCCAGGGTTCCTACTTCTACACTTGTTTCGTTTTCCTCCCCAGTACTGGAGAACTATCCCAGATCCCAGGGCTTTTACACCAAGCTACATCCTCAGCCTTTTTAAATTTTTGAGACAGGGTCTCGTCAAGTTGTTAACCTATTCAGGCTGGGCTTAAACTTTCAACCTTCCTGCCTCAGCCTCCCAGAGCTGGAGGACAGGTGTGTACAGCACCACACCTAGCTCGTACTTGCTCCACGGCTGTGTCCTGAGGCTTCTCATTGCAGCACAGGAACTAGGCCTAGAATGGACCCTAGAGACAGCTGCTCTGCCCTAGTGGCCCCCAGAACCTTTCTCGGGACGGGCCTCCTGGACAGAGGGCAGCGCTCCCACATGCCTACCCACCCCATACTTTCTCCATGCTGTCACGGGGTCCGGTCCACCAACAGGCCCAGGCTGCCCTTGTCTTCACCCTGGGGACACGCCTGTCACATGCAGCCCAGGAGTGGCTGGACAGGGCAGGGCAGCACAAACATCAGATGGCCGGCGCGTCCCAGCCCCCCGCTCACCCACCTCATGGCCCGGCTCAGCTTCTCGTAGGTCATGTTGCTGTTCTTCTTTTTCTGGCCCCAAAGTTGGGCCACAGCCTCGGAGCGAAGGAACTTGAAGACGCCCTCGTGCCGATTCTCCCATTTCATGAGGCCCTCGTTGAGCTCCGGGTGGATGAGGATGTCCCGGATGAACTCCCACAGGTGGGTGCCCCTGGGAGCTGCAAGGACAACTGCCCATAAGCTGGTTCCTAGGGTCCCTCACTCAGCCGGCCCTGCCTGACCTGGCACTGCCGGCGAGTGGCCAGAGCGTGGGGCCGAGGCTCCCCCAGCCTGGCTGTGCTGTGCCACGGGGCTCAGCTGTCTGCCTGTGGTGTGGACAGAGCTCAGGACCCACAGAGCTCATGGCCTGTGGGAGCCGCAGTGAGAAAGTGCGGGGCGGAGAACTGGCCCCAGTCTGCCACCCAGGGACAGCTTTCTGGAAAAGTAACTCCGAAGACAAGAAGAGCACGGGGCCGTGTGTGTGTGTGTGTGTGTGTGTGTGTGTGTGTGTGTGTGTGTGTGTCTGTGG